GCCGCCCCCCCCCCCCCCCCGCCCCCCCCCGGCCGCCGGCTTCCCCCGAGGCTTTCAAAGCCGCGGAGGGGCTCCGGCGGGGGGGGCAGCCCATGCGCGCCTGGGATGCCCCACCGCCGGCTTCCCCCGAGGCTTTCAAAGCCGCAGAGGGGCTCCGGCGGGGGGGGCAGCCCATGCGCGCCTGGGATGCCCCCCTGCCGGCTTCCCCCGAGGCTTTCAAAGCCGCGGAGGGGCTCCGGCGGCGGGGCATCCGGCATACAAGACGACCCCCGATTTTTGGGGGATGATTTTTAACTTCAGAGGTCGTCTTATACGCCGGAATATACAGTAACTCTCACACAGAATGTGTGTCTGTCATTCTCACAAACACACGTTGTCCTTCCTTCTCATCTCCTGCCTCAACATGTACATGGGGGTTGTTACTACTTTTACTGCTTGCAAAGTGGGTTAGTTTCGGTTTGTGACTGGTCTGTGCACTTCATAACTTTAAGTCTTATGCTTAAATTTAATTTGAGTAGTGAGTTCCAAAATGCTGAACCTGTCACGTCTGGAGTAATTATCCCTGTGGTAATTGTGCTCCTGGAGGCGGCCAGCATATCCCTGCAGCCCACCCCCTGCAGAGCAGGGGGTCTACACATGCTATCCTTGCCTGCAGACACCACTCCTGCTGCTCCCATTGATCAGTAATACAGAACAATGGCCAGTGGAAGCTGTGGGGCTGGTGCTTGCAGCCATTGATGTACATGCCAGCTGCTTCCAGGAGTGGTGAAGGGCCAGAGCAGGAATAAGCCTGCCTTAGCTCCACTGCTCCATCCCTAGAGCAATTGTCTGGTCACACTCAGGGTGGGTAGGACTTGCATCCACAACCCTGCCCTCCCCAGGCAAATGCCCAATCCTGTAGGCCACTCAAGAACCCACCCCAACTCCCTGCCTTCAGAGGGTCCCTTATCCAGCTTTCCTAATGTGGGAGTCCCTGAGACTGCGTGAGTGGGATCGAGATCACTATCTTGTGTTCTAGAAACTGATGCCCTATCCCTGAGTTCACTGGTGTTCCCACTCCACCTCCCTACCTTCAGCAGGTCCCTTATCCTGCTTTCCAAAGCTTGTGTTGGCTGTCCAGCTGCTCGCAGGGTCAGAGGAACTTGAACCCATCACCCTGCGCTCCTCAGGCAAATGACCTATTCACTAATTCACTCCAGAACCCACCTCAGCCTCTTACCTTAAATGGGTCCCTTATTCTGTGTTGGCTGTCTGGTTGCTCCCAGAGTGGGTGGGTGCCCCTTCCCTTCTCCAGAGCCAGGCATCTCTCCCCCTCCCCCTGCTTTCTTATGCCCAGGTCCTGGAGCTGCTGCCTGCATTTAGCAGCCAGCTGCTAGCACGTACAGGCTGGAATGCTGTGTATGATCTGGCCTGCACTTGCAGGATATGATGCAGTGCACTGGGGGCTGTGAGCAGAAAGGCGCAGGCCGTGAGCAGAAAGGCACAGGCCGTGAGCACGTACGTGGCTCACAGCGGCCTGGCTGTGAGAGTGGCTGACCTGAGCGGTTTCTGTCAGATCTGTCAGAAACTCGCCCTAGGCCAGTGTTTCTCAACCTTTTTTAATACAGTGTCTCTTTTTCAAAAAAAGAAAAAAAAATTATAAGTGCCCCCAGTACCTACAGTTTTCAGAAACACACAAAAAATTTTCTGCCATTGTTCAAACAACTTAAGCGTAGCCGGATGGGCGATGACATTTTTGGATGTAAAAAGTACAAAAATAATAAAGCATTGCAAAACTCAAAACAAAAATTCAGTTTCCTCCAATTTTCAGCTGTTAACGTACCCGCTACACTTCTCTCAGGTACCCCTGAGGGTACTCATACCACTAGCTGAGAAACACTGCCCAAGGCCAGTCCAGAACCCACACCACCTCCCTAACTTCAGCAGGTCTTATCATGCTTTCCTAATGCGGGAGCCAGCTCCAGCCCTGGGGCAGCATGTGTTGGCTGCCCAGCCACCCCCCGGGAAGAGGGACTCATGCCCCCAACCCTACGCTCCCCAGGCAAATGCCCTATCCCCATGGCCACTCCAGAACCACCCCGCCTTCCTACATTCAGGGTGTCCCCTCCCACACTCCAAACCCCTTGGCTAAAGATCAGAACCTGCACCCCAACCCATATCCCAGCCTGGTGAATGAGATTTGGGGAGTAAGCAGGATGTTGTTTAGCAAGGTGAGGCCTTGGAGAAGAGGTGGAGCAGGGGCAAGGCCTCTCAGAAGGTGGGGGAAGGAAGACGGGCAAGGATATTTGCACTTACACTGAAAAAGTGATCTTGAGGTTAAAAAGGTTGGAGACCACTGATTATGAGGAAATGCCAATACAGTTTGAATCTCTTAAATCTGGGACACTCTGGTCCAGAAACATCCGTGATCCAGCAGAATCACAGATGTTGCTGGACCAGGGAGCCCCAACAGCCAGGAATGCAAGCCAGTCAGGGAGTTCTGTGGAGACAGCCCCATCAGACCAGTTAGCCCCGTCCCCACAGAGCGCTGGCCAGGCAGGGCAGAAGTGGGACCAGAGGGGCCCGTTCCTGCAGAGCCCCATCCTGGCATAGCAGCAGTGGGGAAACTGTGGAGCCTGGTCTCAGGAAACTCTGTCCAGGTGGGACAGTAGTGGGACCAGTAAGCGCTGTCCCCGTGGAACCCCATCCCAGTTCGGTGGCAGCGGGGCAGCCACAGAGCCCTGGCAGGATGCAGCCACAGAGCCTAGTCTCTGGGAAGCCTTGGGTGGGACAGAAGCAGAGTAGCTGCAGAGCTCTGTTCCCAAGAAGCCTCAGACAGGCAGAGCAGAAGAGGGGCAGCAACAGCTGTGGAGCTCAGGCCCCAGGGAGGCATGCCGAGCCCAGCCTGTAGCCTATGGGCTGGATCTCAGTGGCAATGGCGTTGGAGCGGAGCCAGCCACGGGGAGAGGCAGTATCCCTAGAGTCCAATGGCAGGGGACACAAGGGTGCTGGACCAGAGAGATCCAACTTGTACTTTGCACTCCTGTTGCTCCCTTCCATCTAAAAATATAAGGATTTTACTATATGTAGACAAACGAGCCCAGCCTGTAGCCTATGGGCTGGATCTCAGTGGCAATGGCGTTGGAGCGGAGCCAGCCACGGGGAGAGGCAGTATCCCTAGAGTCCAATGGCAGGGGACACAAGGGTGCTGGACCAGAGAGATCCAACTTGTACTTTGCACTCCTGTTGCTCCCTTCCATCTAAAAATATAAGGATTTTACTATATGTAGACAAAATACCTGTGCCAAAACCCTTGTTAGAAAGATGGCTGACCGCAAGACCAGTTATTTCTCTTCAAAAATGTATTTCCAAAATACCTTTTTAGCAGTAGCCATCTTCCACCTTCTCTCTTGAGCAAAATCAGTTGCCATCCATTGCATTTCTTCTAGCAGATAATCCCAGTGAGATTTGGATCTTGGGGCCTCCTGAAGTTTGGGCAATCGCCTCAGAGACCACAAGCCTTCCTTCCTCAATTCTGCTATTCGTTGATGGATTTGATTTTCCTACAAAAAACAAAAAACAAACAAACAAAAAAAACCCTCCATAAATATGTCATGAACAAATACATTTCAATGACAGATGTCTGTTTGCTCACAGCTGTGACCCACCATCATAAACTAATTTGAAATTTAAACCTAATGCTATACTGTAGGAAACAAAATTGTATCAAAGTGGCAAAATTAACAGACTAAATATGATTCAATTGAAACAATAGATTTCAAGTTCTATTCTCAATGCTTTCTATAACGAAAAAGACAAATTGATTGCCAGGCTTTTATATGGACATACGGAAAAGACACTGAACTATCTTTTTTTTCCCCCCTGAAATAAGAGCTACTAAAGAAAATATAATAAAGGATAAGACTCCTCCACCACAGAAGTTCCTTAGCTAGTAGGAGTCTACAGTGAACCTGTTAAAGACACAAAATGACCTGGAAATGTTCTTACCACAGCAGTACATCTAGAGTGATCAGATGTGATCAATATGATAGAAATACAAAGAAAATTACATTTAGCAAAGGAAACTGCCTTCGTTAGCAGTTTTATCTTTAGCTTCTTTGAAAGAGCACAAATTATAAAAACCAAACAATGGAAGAAATAAAAATTAGAGCTCTTTTGTGTGTATTAACAGCTCAGCGATGTACCCTTCTGCATGTTAGTGGTCTTTAGGTTCTGAAAGAAAATACATCTTACCAATTTTACTTGCTCAGCAAGCTTGTCTTGAGAGCTATCCTGTGGTAACACTGCTGCATTCTGAGCTGGACTTTCTGTTTTAGGTGTTGTAGTTACAGCTAAGCCTGGGGGTTTTGATGCAATAGGAGACAGTGATTTAGTTACTGGAGAGGTTCGATTTGTCTGTAATGGATACGAAGGAAGAGGTGCTGAGCCTGAGAGAGTTGCTGGTGGAGCAGAGGATGTAGGTGGTAATGAATTCGCTGTAAGACGCTGAGAAGTCTGGGCTGCATCTGCAGATGGTCGCGTCAGCGTCACAGTCTGCCCAGGAAACAGACTTGTTAGATGGAGAGATAAGGAATTTTACAATTCAATACTACCTAATGCTGATTACAGTAGAATACATTGGCCAAATACTGAGCTAACTTTAATCCACCAAAAGTATTACACTTAAAAAGCTTTACCAGGCAGGAATTTGCTGTTTTACTCCACCGTGTTTCAGAATTTCAGCCATTTAACACCTTTCACATATCTATAAAAACAGACTTCTCTCTTACTCCCAGTAATTATGACAATGTTGTTTTAGAGTGGGCTTTTCACATTAGACGAACTTTACACACAAACATTTCTATCTATATACCTGTTGCTGAATTGCAGCCTGAGGCTGGGACACTTGTGCTGGTGTCTGCCCTTGTATGTGGAGTGCTGGCTGCACCTGCTGTTGAAGTGATGTCGGGAGCTGACTATGTGGAGCAGAAGTGATGGGTACACTTTGGGGTGGGGTCTTCACCTGAATCTGGGGCTGTGCTGAAGACTCTACTATTTGTGGCTGTTTCTGTGAAAGCTGCAATGCAGCTGGGAGAGATGTTATGGGAACATTGGCAGGTTGCAACCTGCCCGGCAGCTGAGGTGGAGGAGTGTGTAAACTTGCTGCATTCTGCACAGGAGGACCTTTGGAGGGGTCGTACTGTTGCTGGCTTTGTTTCTGTCCAGTGAGCTGTACTGCTTGAGGAGTTGGAGGCATGCCACCTGCAAAGCAAGAGGAAATGAAGCACAGATGAATGTTAAGGGTCAATGTTCTTGATTATTTTAACCAACACATAGTCAGATAAGTCAAAATGTGTTGACTACTTACTTGGTGATATGATACGATCACTTAGAAAATACCACATCACAATGAGAAGAATAAATCACCATTACAATAAACAACCTATCATGCAAAGGAACGCAGCTAGCAATTTTGTAATAAGAATCAGTTATAATAAAAAGCATTACCTTTATTATGCTGTCTGCTGGATTTCCTAATTTGTGTTTCAACTATTAATGAGTTAGAAAGGGGTCAAAACTCACTGAATGTTATACACTGAGGATGCTGTACATTAATACACTTAAATCAAAAATAACTATCAGTAAAAATAACATTTGTCACATACGTTGCAAAGTAGGAGCTACCTTTTTTCACAAACCTTTGGTTTAGATACAGAGCACCGAAGCTAAGCATTTTGCATCAGCACCTGTGACTTACTCCTATGCCCACATGCATCACTGGAGTCCACTACTCAGCTCTTTAAACAAACCAGGCATTGTATACCAAGAATTAATTTACAGAGAGAAGTCTGTGGTGGAATTAGAACCTTAGAAGATTAGGAGCCTAAGTTTCTAGTCCCATCACCTACATCTTCTGTTAATTTAATTTGCTATTGGCATGTGGCAATAGTACCTTGTGCCGTTGGCATTAGTTGTTGTAGAGGAACTCCTGAAGCCACACCTGGATGCTGAAAAACCATCCCATGACGGCTCACTTCAATTCGTGGTCTTTTAGACGAATCTGTGATAGTCAAATTCCATTTATGATATGGTACAATGGAATGGGTTCAGTTTACAAAGCAAAACTACCATACAATTTCAACATCAGCTTAGAAAGCTACAACTCTCCTACACGTGTATCATTCATGAGGAATTTGCTCTTAGAGCAGAGCTCCTTTATATTTCAATCTGACCACCTTCACTATCTTCAGCCAAATAACAGACTTGTTAATATTTCTACACTTGTCAAATCCAGGCCCCATTTGTTGTGAGCGAAACACACTGCCCCACAGCACTCACAACAAATATATAAGGGCTGACAATTGCCAAAAGTTCAGACAAAAGTTCCGACAATTGCCAAAGTGAGGCAAAGCTACATTTCAATAATTATGCAATAGTGGGACTTCTGTTTTCCTTTGAAATAAAATTATATTATGTAAAAAGAACATACCTGATGGAGTAAGTGCTTGCTGTCTCTTAAAAGCTTCAATTTCTATGGCATTCACAGTCCCCGTAACTGGTGTCACTGTATGTGTTTGCTATTAAAAAACCAAAAATCATAAAGTTCAGCTTCCTCCTCAATTTCCCTTACAACACAAAGTTAGTGAATCCAAAGAATGCCTTCTTGTACTATCAGCACTTGAAAATAATTGCATACTCTAAAAATTAAGGTTTGTTCAGTGTCTTCTGGGAATTTGTAATACTCCTGTAACAATAAAGTGACCCTAACAGAGTTGTTCATTCAGCTTTCAAGTATAATGATGTTAACTAAGAAGAAATCAATTGTTTTCCACATTTTGATTTAAAAAAAAAAGGGGGGGGGCTATTAAAACCAGGACATAGGGTGGAAGAAGGAATACACTTGGCCATTATTTTTCTGGGCTCCTTTTGCTATTAAAGATTTATATTTATGTAAGAGCTCTCTTCCTGTCACATGATTAATGCTGCAAGGAAGTCACAGCCAAATGCATATATCATCACACTGTTGATTCGTTAAACAGTCATGTCAAAAATTGAACATTTTTATTTCACTACAGAATTAAATTAATAAGACTGGCAAATTAGTTAGATTGGGAGAAATAGCCCTTATATACTACTAGTGCCAGTAAGCAGCAAATATGGTAAAATATAATAAAGACAATTTATTTGTAAAAGATTATTTTCAAAGGCAGCAGTGTGGGAGGCAGGCAGGACACAGTCTTTCTGCCTGCCCCCTACACTGCTGCCTTTGTATCAAAGGCAGCAGCACAGGGGTCAGGTGGCTTCCCGGAAGCACCTGCTCCCACTTGCACACACGCCCACAGCTGTCTCTGATGCATCTATATCAAAGACGGTAATTTCTCAACTGGTATATTTTGTCTATTTACAACTCCAGCGTTCTCAAGGATTCCTTAATCCTCCCTCCTCCATTTTTATAGAAAGTCATACCAATTTAAACAAAGTGAGTGAATATAGAACTATAATGAAATAAATTGTAGGTGTCCAAAAGTCTTCAGTGCCCTATTGTACAGTATAAACTAGGGATGTGAACATGTACCCAAATACACAGTTAACCAATGAGCCTGTGCTCATTGGTTAACCCTCTGAGTTACATGCAGTACTTCCCCCTCCCTCCTCCCCATACTGCTATATTAGAGGCAGCAATGCATAGGGAATGGGAGAGACAGAAACAATCAGTACACTCCCATGGAGCTGCCGGTTCCTTCCCATTACCTCCCACAGAGGCGGCAGCACAGGGGATGAGGAAGGAGGGAGCCAGTACAAATGTTCGATGTACTTTGTAGAGAATTAAGCAAGTTCTGCCCATACTTATGACCAGGGCTTGACGAACCGCAGCAAAAGCCACTCACCAGCCCCGCACATGCGGAAGAGCTGCATTGTGCATGCGCGCGCCGCCGATAAATGGGGCACCGGGCTGAAATCTACTCGCCACGGGCAAGTAGATTCAATAGATTGTCGAGCCCTGCTAATGACATCAGACTAATGTCCACAGAAACTCTGTTACTTGAAAATGAAAACACATAAAAAATATACAAAGTGCTGTCAGTAATATGGGAAATACGGTAATTCTCAAACATTTAGCAGAAAAACTATGTTACATTTCACATACCTACATCTTTCTCTCTATTGCTTTTTATAAAACACAGTAGGTATCTAGATCAATTCAGTTAAAATACTGAATTTTAAATATAGTAATACAGTAAGTTAAGATTATATCCTACTTTGTAGCCATGTAGTACTCAGAACTTTTTATTATTTTAATATGAAATGCTTATGTTCAATATGAAATACTAGTCTTAAGCTCAAGAGCTTACATTCTAAATTAAGTAAAAATAATGCAAATAAGTTGATGGCATTCAGATACGAAGTGCCAGTCCAGATACCTAAAACAAACAGATAGAGAAACTGAAGCTTTGAACATTCAGTTAGTAATAGAAGGTAATAAATGGGTTTTAGAGTGGGTTTTGGCAGAGGAGGGTTAATTAAGTTGTTACTCAGACTTTTGGCACAAATAGAGTCTGAGTTAGATATGTTAAATCATTCTGTGAATTTCTGTATTTGTATATAAAGTATGTTATAACACATTAATTGAATACATGCATCCACACGCAGCCCTTTAATGTGTCCCACTCAGAGGCTCAAAGTTCCCGCTCAGGCAGGGAGCTCAGCTGACTGGTGGGGGTAGGGGCCATCTGAGTAGCTTGAAATCCAGCTGCCTGTTTCCAAAGGAGGAGCTCAGAGAGCAGGTAGGGTGTAAGAATGTTAAATATCGGTTAACTGAATAGTCAATTAGCCTCATGAATTCTTATCGGGCAGTTGACTATTCTATAGTCCCCAGGAAGCCCCTGTCGGGAGGAGAAGGGTCTGAGCTCCTGGACCGACTCAGAACTGAGCCTGGCTGCCTGCCCACCCTGTGCCTAATACTCTTTAAATGCAGAGCTACAGCGGGGGTAGGTCCAGGACCCAGTGCAAGCCAGGACTGAGCTGAGCTGCTGGCCAGCCTCCTAAAAAATTTACTGGAAGCAGGGGAGAGAGGGGGAAATTATGCGTGTAGTCCTCGCTTTTGCTTATCGGTCCATCGACTATACTATTACATCCCTAGTAAGGAGGGGAAATGAAGAGGCGGGAAGGACGGCATAAGTGGCTGCAAGAAGAGTTGTAGGGTTTTGGGGAGCGGAGGAAGGAGTGAGTAATTGGCTGGGGGGAGAGGGAGTCAAAGGTGAGGGGAGATTGGGATTGCTGCCTGTGCAAGAGAGAGACAAAGATGTAGAGGAGTGTTGCCACTATCTAAAATTCTGGTCTTAACAGGATTTTTTAAAAAATCGTTACTAATTAATAAATGGTATACTGCATTGCATTAAGGCCAGAACTTTGCTATGTGATAGAATTCTGGCTCTTAATGGAGTCAGAAGTAGCAAGTACAAGGTGTGAGACTAGTAGTATGAAACTTATTTGCAAGCTCTTCAAAACATGCATCTGCCTATATACCCTGAACACCCTATTAATTTGTTCTGGGGCTTCTACTCTTTGATTTGGTGACAGACACAAGGTGAAAGTTCCAAACTAGGAGCACTGATTCAGTATGTCTCTATTTCTTTCTGTTCTTGTATAGCATAGATCCTAAACATTCCCCAGAGAAACTATACCAGGGCTTAGCAATCTATGGCTTGCAAGCCAAATAAGGCTCACTAAGGAGCCAGATATGGCTCTTTTGAAGCTCGAGCCTAGCCCTTCTCCTCCTCCCTCCCCCCATTCCCACTGCAGCAGAGTCTGTGCTGATGCTACATCAGGCCTTGGAAAAAAAATCCAGCCCACAGACACAGCAGGGAGTCTGTAGGCAGATTCCCCTGCTTGCCACATTCATGCATGCCATTTAGAAAAGTGGCTGTAGGGCCATTTGTTTTTCCACAACCTGTGACCCCAAAGAGGTGCGGGGAGTGTTGCTTCACAGCTGCTCCCACCCCCAGCACAATCCCATTGGCAAGTGAAGCTCTGCCTCAGGCTCTAATACACAAAGCACATGGCTCTGTGTGGAGGGTGGAGCATACTCCTGAGAAGTGTGCTGCACTGCTGCTCTGGAGTCTCACTGATAAGTCTCCCAGCCAGAGCTTGCCTCTGGCACCCCATCCTCTCCCTCCCACCCTCTGTCTCCCACCCTCTGTCCCCCACCCCCGACTCCCACTGCCTTTCCCACTTAAGCCAAATCCTCTGCTTCTCTCCAGAGCTCATACTCCATCCCAGATTCTGCATCCCAATCCTCTGAACCAGATGACACCCCATCCTGCCGTTGGTCGCAATCCAAACTCCTGTATCCCTTCCTACATCCCAGTCCCTGCCCTAGGTCACAACCAGTGTTCCCTCTAAGATTTTCCATTCATGAGCGAAATGAATTTTGTCTTTGAGTACCAACAATGTTCTTGTTCACATGTGTGCCACTGTGGCACCCACCAGTGGTGCTGCTCCCCAAGAAACTCCCAGGTAGTGCTCCTCCCAACCTCTTGGGGAGAAGGTGAGACATGCCCCCGCCAGAGCACTGATCCCTAGGCAGCCTGTGTACAGGGCTGGGACTGCCCCAGGCTGCTCCTCATGGGGCTGGCTGTGAGTCCCCACCTGGGGCAGAGGGAAGCTGCTGCCAGCACCCAGGGTTTGCAGGGAGTGAGGTACTGGGGGTGGGGAAGAGGGGTGGTGACCAGGGGGCTCTGAGGAGCAAAAGAGAGGTGCAGGATGGGCAAAACGGAGGAGTAGGGGCCCCTAGCCCCTGGAACAGCTGAACCACAGCCTGGCTCCAGCTTTCAACAGCTGCCATGAAGCCAGTCCAGGGAGTAGTCGAGAACCCACAACCCACCGCCCACACAGCCCCAGCTGCCGGAGTGGCCATGGCCCCCTAAGCTGCTCTCTGACTGGCCCCAGCCTCCCAAGTGGGCCCTCTGTGCAGGTCCCAGCCCTCTCCCTTCCCCTCCCCAAGTAGACCCTGCCCACCTAGCCCCACCCCGCAGTGGACCGCAGGCCGCGGCACCTAACCCCTGTCCCCGAGCCAACCTCAGGACAGGCCCCAGCCACCAGAGCAGGCCCCGGCCCCAGACCCCAGGCTCCAGCAGCTATGCAGCCTCAGCCACCCCTCTCAGGATGTTAAATTTCCATTAATCAAGTAATCAAGTAGTTGAAATTTCCATCAACTACTCAATTAGCTAGTGCTCCCCCTTATGGACTATCCCATCAGTGTACTCCTTTGAAGTGAGGTCCCAACTGATGCACTTCTCCCTTTGAAATGTACAATAGCTGCAGGAGGCTCCTGTACATTTCAAACAGAGAGATGCAGCAATAAGGACGTCTCTGCTTCCCCTGACTTCCGCGGAGACAGTGCTCGGTGGCTCCCCCAGGACTGAGAGAGGCAGCAACGAGGGGAAGTAACTCGTTGTGTGACTAGTCGATTATCTGTTAATCCTATGCTTAATAGTCAACTAGTCCCTTACATCTCTATCTATCTCCCACACTGCCTCAACTAGACCCCCGAGTGGCCCCCAGTCCAGAGCAACTGCCTGCAGCAACACTCTGCAAGGTAGGCAAGCAAAAAAATTTGTGTGTACGTACCTTAGTGGGAACTATGGTCACAACCCCCTCCTGCCCTAAGTCACAATAAAACACCTGCATTGTAATCCCCTGCCCTAGGTCACAATCCAAAATCCTGTACCCCAATCCCATGCCTCGAGTCATAACTGCCTCCTTCATATAAACTCAGTGGCCCCCCCAAACCAAAAAAAGGTCCCCCACTCCTGCCATGCTGAAACCTTTTTTTGTTGGATGTAATATTTTACTTTATTTAAAAATAAAGCCTGGCCAAGTCCCCAGCTGGGGCCCATCCCCATCTATGGACTGTTTTATTTGTTTGTATTGGTGGTACGTATCCACATACACCCTCAATATTGATGCTGCACATAAGAAATTTCAATCCGCCCAAAAGAAAATTCAATCCACCTGAAGATAGAAAACATTAGCGGGAACACTGGCCTTCATATATTTTAAATGGATTGACAGACTTTCAAAATTTGTAAAACATATGTAATTACTGGCTACACTAAAAAGCACTGGAAACACAACTTCGTTAAACAATTTAAAATTTATACAAAATATTTATGTATACAGAATTAATTATATTTGTGAATATGGTCAATAATAGTAACGTCTCCATTTAAAGTCCCAGGGCAATATGAATAAAGGGTTGCACAAGCTATAAGTTGGCAGGATATAAAGCCCATCAAATACAGTTTGCTATTAAATATCTTCATCAAAATAAAGGTGTATAGCATCTGAATTGAAAGAGAATATTTCAACCACAGATTTAGAGTTTATCCTTTGTGAGCAATAAGGCAATAGCCAAGTACACTGAAGTAGGTCTGAAATGCCCAGTAAATGGCAGTGACGTACACACAAGCAAGCTAGGTGTTAAAAGTGCATCTGCATTGATTCAAATAATTTGTTCGCTTTATAGGTGTCATCCCTCTCAAAATACATGCTCCAATATACTCCCAAACAAAGTTCAGTCCAAAAGAAGACCCTCTGTAACACTTATATATCTTCTGCTTAATATCCATAATCAGGGCTCGACAAATCAGATCGCCCATAGCGAGTAGATTTTGGCAACTGGCGAGCTGTGATGGGGTGGAGCCGCCCCGCAGTGGCGAAGGCGACCCACCCCGCACTTCAATGGTGTCGAACACCGTGCTTCATGGTCAGCGCGGCGTTCTGACAGTGGTCTGTGCAGCTTGCTCCCATGCAGCAACCCAGCAGAGCGCCATGCAGGGGGGCTAAGTCCTGGATGGAAGCCTGAAGCAAGGGTGGGGCCACACGCGGGCTTAGGGCAGGGCCAGAGTGCGCGTGTGTCCCTGACATCAGGGCGAGAGGCACTGGCGCAAGAGAGCGCCACATTCAAAAGGAGAGCAGCAGAAGAAGTTAGAGGGGAGAGGAGACAAAGGAAAGTAATGGAGGGAGAGGGGAGAACAGAGGAGTGAGCTAGAAGACGGCGGTGGGCAGAGGAGTGAAGGGTTAGAGCGCAGGGGGAAGGGAAACGGGAGATGGAGGAGGTCAGAGAAGGCAGGAGGGAGATGAGGAGTGGAGCAGAGAGCAGAGCATGAGGGCAGAGGAGGAGAAAGGAGAAGCAGAGGTAGGAAGCAGCCCAGGATGTGGCTCCTTAGTGTCTCTGCTCTGGACTGCTTCCTACCTGCACTTCTCCTTTCACATCCTCTGCCCCTTCACTCTGCTCCACTCCCCGTCTCCCTCCTGCCTTCTCTGACCTCCTCCATCTCCCGTTTCCCTTCCCCCTGCGCTCTAACCCTTCACTCCTCTGCCCACCGCCGTCTTCTAGCTCACTCCTCTGTTCTCCTCTCTCCCTCCGTTACTCTTCATTGCCTCCCTCCTCTCTTCCGCTCTCCTCTGATCCCTTTTTGAATGCAGCGCTCTTTTGCGCTGGCACCTCTCCCCAATGTCCGGGATGCCCACGCATTCTGGCCCTGCCCTAAGCCCGCGTGCAGCCCAGCCCCTCCTTCTGGCTCCCGTCCCAGGACTCGGGCCCCCTGCATGTCGCTCAGCAGAGCAGTCGCACGGGAACAAGCGGCGCAGACTGCTGTCAGAACACTGCGCTCCCTGTGCAGCATGGGGGTCGGCGCCGTTGAAGTGCGGGGTGGGTCGTCCTCGCCGCTGCGGAGCAGCCCCACCCCATCACAGAAGCAAACATGCCATCCTGGTCGTCCCATTTTCCGGGTAGCGTGCACCTGCATGGTGGGGGTGGCGAGTCCCTTTTTTGTCTGGCAGGTAGGGTTTTCTATAATTTGTCGAGCCCTGTCCATAATAAATCTAGTGAAAGTGAGGTACGTTCTTATAGAAGTTGTAGTACTTACGATCACTCATTTTAAAGGGGTGTTTTTGGGAGGAAAAACACATCATACAAATTATAGCAAGAAAAGAAAATTTAGTATCTTGTGCAGGCATGTTCAAAAACCCTTAATCAACCAAGAAAAAAGAAAAGAAATTGAGAAAGAAATTCACAGTTACAGTGCCACAGACAGAGGAATCCAACTGCTACTAAGCAGACGGCACAAATGAACCAAATGCATAAGGGAAATGACAAACAAACCAAAGTGAAAAACATTCAAGCTGAAAGTTAATGAAATAAGCCAGCGACTTTGAGACAAGAAAAATTTAACTTCCTCGACACTCAATAAATATTCATGCGTTTCAAGATCTGAAGTTATTTTTGTTTGTTTTAAATGAGAACGGATGGGCTCTTGGGAAAATTTGAATTCTGCTAGGAAATACCAAATCTGAATGAAGAAAAAAAAATCTGGGATGAGACTACATTTTAGAACCATTGAAAAGTACCTGAAACGGTTGCTGCTGTGATGAAAAAGCAGCAGAAACATTTGGAGGAAGCTGGGTTGCTATAGCAACAGGAGTACCAGTCTGCCCATCCTTTCCTGTCACAATCTTTACCTGAGAGAAAATATTTTGGGAAAAAAAAAAAGGGAGAATCATTTTGTTTTTAAAACTGATCAACACACCTGTTTTACACTGTACTGATGGCACCTCACTGAAGAGGGGATAATAATTAAATGACCATCAGTGCAGTTTGGTTGGAACATAGACTATTTTAAGAGTTCTGTTTCACTTTTAATAGCAGAACAGCCTGAAAGATAGACTGTCACCACTGCAATACTGTCTTAAATCCAGATTAAGTAACAGTGTGGGTTAAATTTAATTCTCAGTTCCTTGTTAGACAAAATATTAGCATGACAGACAGTCTAAACTCAAGAGAGCCCCAACATTTATTTAAGCAATGAGCATAGCCACCATTCTCTCTCCCGCATTAATTTCCCAAGTGGTCAGCCCTCCCAGGCAAGGGATGAGGTGCACTGCTTTAGCAAAAGGTGATAAAGAGGGGGGAAATAAAAGAAAGGAAGACCAAAAATACAAAGAAAGAACATACTCAAAAGGTGTCTTGTTTTGCAAAAGCTACCTTAATGTGTTAGGACAGTCAAACCAGTTTACTGGCAATTTGCAAAATCCACCACAGTTAAAATGATTACAACTTTCACGAGGAATTAGATAAATCACATATGGTCTGGTAGCACTTTATAGACTAACAATACATGTACAGAAAAACTCCAATTGTCCAGCATCCAGTGGTCCAGCTCTCCCAATAGTCCGGCATCAACTGGAACCCAGAAGTGCTCCAGTCAGCCGCTCTCACAGCCGGACCGCTGTGAGCCAGTGCTCACCTCCTGCGCCATTCCGCTCATAGTCCTCAGCGCACACAGCGTCCAGCCTACACTTTCTCGCAGCCGGCCGTTGAGCACAGGCAGCTGCCTTGGGACCCGGACATAAGGTTGGGGGAGAAGAGATTACAGCAGGGGGGGGGGG